AGAGCACAAAAGGGAGATATCTCCTCTAATGAAATATAAGTTTTTTGAGGGCAGAGACTATTTTTGTTTTTGTCTTTGTATGCTGAATTCCTAGTTTAATGCTTGGCATCTAGAAGGTATTTAATAAATGTTTGTTGAATTGAAGACAGGATAAAAAGCTCTATAGAGTTAGCCAAACCTAGGAAAGAATGCAAGACCTAATGCACTTTTATATTGTATGTTTTGATTAGGATGATACATAATAAGAATATACCAACATAAGGATGATTTGGGAGCCAGGGGAGGAGGAAATTGTACTCTTTATGGGAGGACTGGAAATCCAGAATAAATGGCTAGATAGAAATGATAAGTGTTTGAGTAGCTATAAATATACAAATCAGATTGTAGAGGATGACAGTGGTAAATTGTGAAAAACACAATACAATTGGGATTAAAGGAGAGATGATGGTAAAGAACAGATCAGGATAATCATTATTAAAGATGTATGTGTATTAAGATTACATTTGTGCCCTATATTTTAGATTCCCAGTAATTGAGAGCTATAACAATCCTACAAATAGCCTGGAATTTTCAGAAATGTAAAACAAAAAGTGGATTCTACATTTGAGTGTTACCTAACACATATGAAGGCATTTTCTCATTTAGGATATTAGAAAGGAAAAGATAGGGTTTCACAAGAGATATTCCATAGTAGAACACAATTGTACAAATGACTCCATGGTATACACAATACAAGATCCCTCTGTCATTGCTTTTGTTTGACAGTTTTTTAAGTGTTTGATTTGGTGTAGCAAAACAGTGCCTGAAATGCTTTCCCAAAAGGATTCTTCCATTGATGTGTGAAAATCACAAAAGATTCCTTGAAACAAAAATCCGTTTGTAAAAACAAACAAAAAGAAAAACTTTCTGACTATTACCAAATGAGATAAAACAAATCTTTGCTGGTCAAAGGTGCCTGCTGTTGTCATGGAAGAAGTCCAGCATAGAGTCCAAGTTGAATACAGATTGCCTATAGCTGTCAAGGTCTTAAAGATTCTTCTTCTTTTTTGGGGGGGGGGGAGTAGATGACATTATTCATGTAAGACTTGAAATATTCAGCCCTGGTTTAAAGATCCTGTAGGCTAAATCAGGGCATCTAGGTGGCACAGTGGATAGAGTGCCAGGCCTAGAGTCAGAAAGGCTTAGCTTTCTGAGATCAAATCCAGCCTCAGACACTTACTAGCTATGTGACCCTGGGCAAGTCACTTAACCCTGTTTGCCTCAGTTTTCTCAACTGTAAAATGAGCTGGAGAAGGAAATGACAAACCACTCCAGTATCTTTACCAAGGAAATGAAGGCACAGAGTCTGACATGACTGACAGGTAAAACCAAGTTGATGAAGAATGCCTTTTGGTTAGACTTATGCAGTTGAACTGTCATACACTTTGCCTATTAGTACATATAGCACTAGCTTAGAAAAATCCTAGTCCTACAGCAGCTAGGTGGTGCAGTGATTAGAACTCTGGCCTTGGAGTCAGGAGGATCTGAGTTCAAATTCAGCCTCAGACACTTAACACTTACTAGCTGTGTGACTCTGGGCAAGTCACTTAACCCTGATTGCCTTACCAAAATGAAAAAAAAAAGAAAAAAACCCTAGTCTTAAAGAAGGGCAATGCCAAGGAATGTTCAAATTATCAAACAATTACTCTCGTTTCACCCACCAACAAGATTATGCTTAAGATTCTGCAAGCTAGGCTTCAGCAATATGTGAACCAAGAGTTACCAGAAGAGAAGGCTGGTTTTCAAACAGGTAGATGAACTAGAGACCAAATTGCCAACATTCTTTGGATTGTAGTGTTCTAGAAAAATGTCTAATTTTCCTTCATTAAATCTGTAAAGGCTTTAACTGTGTGAATCACAACAAAATGTGGCAAGTCCTCAAATAAATGGGAGTACCAGATCATCTTACCTGTCTCCTGAGGAACCTGTATGTGGACCAAGAAGCAGTTAGGATCAAACATGGAACAACTGGTTGGTTTAAGATTGGAAAAGGAGTTGTATGTATATATGTGTGTATGTATGTGTGTGCATATATATATATATATGTATGTATACGTACACACATATATACATACATATATATGCGCACACACATACACACACATATATGTGTGTGTGTGTGTGTGTGTGTGTGTGTGTGTGTATATGTATATGTATATATACATAGTATACTGGTCCCATGATGTCCTGACAAAGAGAAAGAAGAAATGGAAACAGTGTTAGATTTTATAGTCTTAAGCTCCAAGATCACTGCAGACAGAGACTATAGTCATAAAATTAAAAGATGTTTGCTCCCTGAATAGAAAGCCATGACAAATCTAGGCAGCATCCTAAAAAGTAGAGCCATTACCTTGCTAACAAAGGACTGTATAATCAAAGGTATGGCTTTTCCAATGGCAATGTATGGCTATGAGAGCTGTACTATTAAGAAAGGTGAGTGCTACAAAATCAACCCTTTTGAATTGTGTTTCTGGAGATGGCTTTTGAGAGTCCCTTGGACAGCAGGGAGAGCAAATCAATCACTACTGAAAGAAATTAATTCAGGCAATTCACTGAAAGGTCAAATACTGAGCTGAAATTTAAGTACTTTGGCCACATAATGAGCCAATGGGACTCACTGGAAAACACTCTGATGTTGGAAAAGGTTGAAGACCAAAGGAAAAGAGGATGGAAGAGAAGTATCATAGAAACAATTAACATGACCTTGGACAGACTTCTAGAAATATTGGGGGAGAGAAGGATCTGGTGTTCTATAGTCCATGGGGCCATGAAGATTCAGACATGACTGAACAACTGAACAGCAAAAAGGAAGAAAAACATAGACATTAGAAATAGACAATGAGCTTTGTCCCAAATTGAACAGGAGAAGAGAGGGCTAAATTTCATTTGGAAAATTTCAAGCTTCTTGTAATGATCTCAAGTGTCTTTTTGAAACAATGACCCATTAAAAAATAAAACAAAACACCACTGTGCTTCTGATGATGATATACAGATGTGTAGTGTAATACTAGTCTCAAAAGAACTGAAGAAGGAAGGTCACCCAAAGGACAATGGAGAAGCACATGGTGGATACGAACAGACCACACATATTACAAGCAAGGAATAACACAAGATAAATAGCATATTTAAACAACTGGATGTCACAACTATATGGTATAATAAACAGGAAGGTACTCCTGTGTCCAGGCTAATGAAGTTTTGCTATTCATGACGACACGTAATCTTAAGCAACAAGAGGATCTGCTTGCTAGTAAATGTTAATTTTTTAAAATGCTATTGATGTTTGTTTTGCACACCGTAGTCATATCAATTCAGTGCGCTTCCTCCATTGAAATCACCCTATTAACAAAGAAAGTAAGTTGAGGCAAATTTAGTTTTGAATAAGGAAAGACTTCCCAAAAGTGATTGCCATACCAAGTAGAATGGAATCCCTCAAGGAATAGTAGATTCCACTCATTGAGGATTTTCAAAAATGTGTGCGTGTTTGATCACTTTTTGGGTGTGTGTTGTACTAGATGGACGTTGAAATCCCTTTCTGCATTTCTGGCTATCCTGGTGGCCTCATGAGGATGCATTTTTACTTGTAACAAATATTCCATGAGGCATGACATATAAAGGTTTTTTTTAATTATTTATTTTTAGTTTTCAACATTCACTTCCATAAGATTTTGAGTTTTAAATTTTCTCTGCCTTCCATTTATCTCCCCCCCCCACCGATGGTGTACAATCCAATATAGGCTCCACATATACATTCCTGATAGACATATTTTCCCCTTAGTCATGATGTAAATAACAAATAGGACTAACGGTAGAAAGCACGAGAATGAAGCAATAAAACAAAACAACAAAAGGAGAGCAAATACTATGCTTCCATCTGCACTCAGACTCCATATTTCTTTCTCTGGCAATGGATAGCAATTTCCATCATGAATCTTTTGTAGTTTTCTTAGATTCTTGCGTTGTTGTGAAGAGCCAAGTCTATCAAAGTCAGTCATCCCATAATATAGCTGTTACTGTGTACAATGTTCTCTTGGTTTAAAGATTCTTTTATGAATACAATTAATAATACCTACCTTAATTATGTGAAAACTAATTTCATTGAATAGAACAACTTGCTTCACAGGAACCAGTAGTCCTTAGGTGAAAATTATCAGGAATAACTCTTTGGAAGTGCCAGATAATGAATTGAGTCTTGAAGGAAAATAAATCAGTCAATTTACATTACAGTGTGCCAGGCACTTTGCTAAGTACTGGGGTGATGTACATGGATTGACAGAAAGGAATAATGAGAGGAAAATAAGGAAAATATTTTTTTCTGAGAGTACAAGTAAGGTTCTCATGCTCACTGAGAACTGAAATTTACTGAGAATTGAATTGAGAATTGAAAATTATTATTCTGACAATTGTGTGCAGTATGGATAGGGAAAGATTGGAGGCAAAGGAAGACCATGTGGAGACACTTAGAATCCCCAGTCCAGGCCTGATGTAATGAATTCAGTAGGATAAACAAAAAGTCCTATATGGAATCTTTACAAAGTATGACATAATCTTTGACCTTTAGCTTGAAAAAATTATAATCTGCTCAGAAAGATAAAGCATGTTTTAAAAAAAACCAAACTAGTAGACAAGACATAACAGTGATTATAAAACCACATTGAAGCAAGAAAAAATTGACACATTTATTTCATAAAGTCTAAAACGATACTTAGGAATGTTCAAACTGAAATATAGCTACTGGGAAGAGGTGAATGATAAGTCACTGGAATGTGTGGATTCCTAATTTATATTGTTTACTTACAACTTTTAGTTACTCTGGGTAGAACATTCATTCTCCTTCCAGTTGATAACCTTGATTAAAAATTGGAATCTGATAGTATTTTTGATCACTATTAAAATATTTTTACTTCTAAGTATATTCATAGGTATATCTTAAGTTTCTCCCTGTTTCTTTTTTTGTGTAGAAATCTCATACAAGCAGTGAAGGAGAATTAAAATTTTACCAACCAAAAAAAAAAAATGGCAAAACACACCAACCTCATTTACTTCACCAGAAAATCTCTTGCTAAAGAACACAAAGCTGACAGAAGGAATGAGGAAGATAAAGAAGGATTGGAGCCAAGAAGTGACTTGGAAGCGGGTAAACAGCTGCCATTTATTTATGGAGATGTTCCTCCAGAAATGGTATCAGAGCCCTTGGAAGAACTGGACCCATACTACTGGAATAAAAATGTAAGTATTTCCTATGACCATAGTGAAAATGTTTTTGTTTTACCCTTCATGTATGAAAGGATTTGGATTGAAATATGATTGTATTTGATGGAAATACTGAATAAAGTTGTTAGTATTGAACTATTGTAAATATTGAACTACATCAATCTTATATTCTTATATTTAATCAAAATTGGTTTTGTAACTGATATCTTGATTCCTTTGCTTTTAAAGTATAATGGGAGTGGAGGTTGGAACTGACCTAGTTCTAGTCTGCTCTGTCTAGTGGTAACCCAAGTTGGATGCTTATGTATCCTGCTTCCAATCAAATGACCTAGGTTTAAATTATATTCTTCTACCTACTCCCAGTCTGCCCTTGAACAAGCCATTTAATATCTTTGTGCCCCATTTTCCTCAAATGAAAAATAAGGGATGGAGTCAAAATGATCTCTAACGTTCTTTTGGATTCAAAATCTATGATCCTATAATTTTATATCTGGACAATCTTCAAAAACTCCTTTAAATCTGTGATTCTATGATATGATACCAGCTTATGAAAGAGTGTTAATTTGTTACAGTGGATAGCATAGTTGAGTGCTATCAGAAGTTAAGAAAATCTGGGTTCTATCCTACCCACAGACATTGCTAAACCACATATATAAGTTTCCCTCTCAACCTTTCTCATTTAACTTCTCTGAGACTTTATCTCCTCACCTGCAAAATGAGAGTAACTTATGTGTGTGTGTGCGGCACACACACATATATATACACACATATATGTAATGACTTTTAAGGGTCCCTCTCAGTTCTAAATCTATGATCCTAAGATCTGTATGAACATCTCTGATGAGGAAGTTATGACCTGCAGAGGCAGTCTATTTCATGATCTAGTTGAGCTAATATCAGAAAAGGAGTATTTCTATAACATATATAAGTGGCTGCCAAGTCTTTGCTTGAAGGCTTCTACTAAAGTGAGAACCTATTATCTCCTGAGCCAGCCCATTCCACGTTGGTACAACTTTGATTGCTAGAAACATTTTAATTACATCAAGCTTAAATTCACCTCTGCAATTTCCTCCCCTTATTCCTAATTATGCCCTCTGTGGCCAAATAAAACCTATCTAGGCCCTATACTAAATGACACAGTCCTTTAAATATTTGAATACATTCATCATTTTATCTTTTCAAGTTTAAATATCCCTAATTCCTTTAACTAACCCACACATTGCTTTCCCTTCAGACTGAGTAATAGATTTTTGTTGTTCAGTCATTTCAGGCATGGCCAACTCTTTGTGACCCCATCTGGTGTTTTCTTGGCAAAGTAATAGATTAGATAGTCTTTAAATACTTTTCTAGCCCTAATGTATTATGAGTCCACATTTTCAAAGTGTTTTCCAGTGATAAAGCAGTGTATGTGCCCATATTTATTTCATTTGACCCTAACTAATGATCAGAGACAGGTAGGTTGCTCAGTAGATAGAACATTAGGCTTCAAGTCAGGAAGACCTGATTTCAAATCCAGCCTCAGACACTTACTTGCTATGTGACCCTGGGTAAGTCATTTAACCTCTGTTTTCCTAAATCTGCTAGAGAAAGAAATGGAAAACTATTCTAGTATCGTTGCCAAGAAAACTCCGTGATGGGGTCTTAAAGAGTTGGTCATGACTGAACAACAACCACAACAACAGTGATCAATGCAGACTACAAATGGATATGTTAAAAGTTAGTAAATTAAAAGTTTTAATTTTTAATTTCATTCTCTATCTTTTCTCCTATAGACTTTCTTAGTATTGAATGAAAGGAAAACTATCTTCAGATTCAGTGCCACTCCAGCCTTACACATTTTAACTCCTTTCAATTTGATTAGAAGACTATCTATTAAGGTTCTAGTAAACTTATATCCTTTTCTAGGGGTTCATTGGCAGTGTTGCTGCTTTAACAAAAAAAATGTTAAATTAATACAACTCTGTTTCATAATACAAATGTTGCTTTTAGTCTTTTTTCCACTCTAAAAGAATATGTGGTTTTAGTTCATTCATTGTATTTTAATTGACTAGGAAAACACAAAAGGTAGTTAGGTAATGTACTGTATTGAAAACTGGACCTGGTGATAGGAAGAACTGAATCTCGCCTCAGACACTTACTAGCTGTGTGACCCTGGGCAAGTCATTTAACCTCTGGTTCCTTCAGTTTCATCATTGATAAAGTGGAGGTAATAACAGTACCTACCTCTCAGATTTGCTGTGAGGATAAAAACTTAAATGATATTTGTAAAGTGCTTTTCAAATCTCAAAGTGCTACATAAGTGCTCGTTGTTATTATTATCATCATTCTCATGATTATAATCAGTATTATACACTGACCTGATAAATGGGTATGCCAGCGGTCAACTTGGAAAACATTTCAGATATCTATTATAGTATCCATGACTGTGAAAATTGAGAGAAAAGAATTCTTGAAAGTCATTTGGTAATTCTTTAAAGTGAGAAATTATAGGCTATCAGCTTTTAGATTAGTGTCCCGAGTGCATATATAGGAAATCTCTAACGTGATTTATAATTTTATTTTCCTTGATTCTTACCTACCCTATTCAACATATTTATCATGGGCACTTTTATGATCAACTGTTTATTTTTGACAATGCGTACATCTCCAAGCTGGGCAAAGATTCTAAAGTAAGTAAGCAAAATACCTTTTAAAAATGCATATTATAAATGGAACCTTGAATTCCTTTCCCTTACATAAATTTGCTGATTCCTCTATTTTCTGTGTTTCTGTTTCCCTTGTGATCTAGTTGAAATACTATCTAGGTATTTTTACTCTCAGAAACATGAGTAGTCTTTTTTTTAGTTAGTATTTTATTTTCCCCACTTACATGTAAAACAATTTTAAACATTCATGTTTAAAATTTTGAATTCCAAATTCTCTCCCTCCCTCCCCCCCAACATTGAGAAGGCAATCAATTTGGCATAGATTATACATGTGTAGTCATGGAAAACACATTTCCATATAAGTCATGTTGTAAAAGAAAACATAGACCAAAAAAAAAGAAAGAAAAATAAAGTTTATCGTAGAAACTTGCTTCAAAAAATTTTCAGTTATGATTCCTAATTACATTTCCCTTCATCCTATTTCCTCCTTGTTTATTTTATTCTCTCTCCTTTCACCCTGTCCCTCCTGAAAAGTTTTTTGCTTCTGACTAGCACTTTACCCAATCTGTCCTTCCTGTTATTATTCCCTCTACCCCCACTTCTCTTATTCCTTTCCCCTCCTATTGTCCTGTAGGGTAAGATAGATTTCTATACCCCATTGAGTGTGCATGTTATTCCTTCTTTGAACCGATTCCAGTGAGAGTAAAGTTCAAACATTCCCCACCATTTCCTCCAGCTTCTCCACTGTAAAAGCTTTTCTTGCCTCTTTTATGTGAGATAATTTATCCCATTCTACCTCTCCCTTTCTCTTTCTCTCAGTGCATTTCTCTCTCACTCTTTGATTTTATTTTTTTAGATATTATCCCATCATATTCACCTCACAACTGTGCCCTCTGTCTATATATACTCCATCTAACTTCCCTAATAAAATGAGAAAGTTCTTAGGAGTTTCAAGTATCATTTTCCCATGTAGGAGTGTAAACAGTTTAACCTTATTAAGTCCCTTACAATTTTCCTTTCTTGTTCACCTCTTTATGCTTCTGAGTATCGAATTTGAAAGTCAAATTTTCCATTCAGCTCTGGTGTTTTCATCGAGAATACTCAGAAGTTCTCTATTTCATTGAATATCCATTTTTCCCCATGAACAATCATACTGTTTTTGTTTTTGTGTTTATGGGGGTAGGTGATTCTTAATTGTATTCCTAGCTCCTTTGCACTGTGGAATATCATATTGCAAAGCCTCCAATCCTTTAATATAGAAGCTGCTAACTGTTGTGTTATCCTGAGAGTAGCACCCCAATACTTGAATTGTTTATTTCTGGCTTCTTGCAATATTTTTCCCTTGACCTGGGAGATCTGGAATTTGGCTATAATATTCCTGGGAGTTTTCATTTTGGAATCTCTTTCAAGAAGTGATCAGTGGCTTCTTTCCATTTCTATTTTATCCTCTGGTTCCAGAACATCAGGGCAGTTTTCATTGATAATTTCTTGAAAGATGATGTCTGGGGTCTTTTTTTGATCATGGCTTTCAGGTAGTACAATAATTTTAAAATTACCCCTCTTTGATCTATTTTCTATGTCAGTTATTTTTTCCAGTGAGATATTTCACATTGTCTTGTATTTTGTTTTTATTCCCTTGGTTTTCTTTATTGTTTCTTAATGGCTCATAAAGTCATTAGCTTCCACTCCCTCAATTCTAATTTTTAAGGAATTATTTTTTCATTGAGCTTTTGTACCTCCATTTCCATTTGGTCAATTCTTCTTTTTAAGGAGGTTTTTCTTCAGTGAACTTTTGTACGTCTTTTTCCATTTGGCCAGTTGTTCTTTTCAAGGCATTCTCATTGTATTTTCATCTCTTTTACCATTTGGCCTAGCCTGTTTTTAAGGTGTTATTTTCTTCAGTAGTTTTCGTGCTTCCTTTAACAAGCTGTTGATTCTTTTTTCATGATTTTCTTGCATCACTCTCATTTCTCTTCCAGAGTTTTCCTCTGTCTCTCTTACTTGATTTTTAAAATCCTTTTTGAGCTCTCCCATGACCGAGGAGAGTCATACTTTCCTTGAGGCTTTGGATGTAGGAGTTTTAACTTTGTTGTCTTCTTCTGAGTGTTTATTTTGCTCTTCCTTGTCACCATTGTAACTTTCTATGGTCAGGATTTTTTTCTGATGTTTGCTCATTTCCCCAGACTTTATCTTGACTTTTAACTCTTTGCTAAAGTGGGGCTCTACTTCCAGGGTGAAGGTACGTTGTCCCAAGCTTCAGGGATTTTGTGTTACTGTTTTCAGAAATACTTGTAGGGACCTGTAAGTTTTCAGTTCTTCCAAAGTGGTATGATGTGAGAGGTGTGTTTACTAATTTCTGGCCTGTGCTGTGGTCTGAGTGACCACAAGCACTCTTTTCTGCCCTGGAACTATGATAAGGGTCATTGCTCTACTATGGCCCCAAACTTTGGTGACCTTCTCCTCCTCCTTGCACTCAGGACTGTGACCCAGATCTGAGTATGGGTAAAGCAGCAGAGTGCCTCCTTTACCGAGCTGTTGACTCTTTTGTCATGATTTTCTTGCATCACTCTCATTTCTCTTTCCAATTTTTCCTCCTCCTTTCTAATTTGATATTTAAAAACATTTTGAAGCTCTTCCATGGCCAAGGGTCAATTAATATTTTTATTTAAATCTTTGGATATAGGAATTTTAACTTTGTGCTTGCCTTAGTGCTAGCAAAGAAATCACTGTAATCTACTTCCGACCAGTTGTTTGACCCCCTTACTGTCTTTGGGCTTAGAACTATGGAAACATCTGCTACCTCTGCTGATTTAGTTGCTCCTAAGGGCTACTCCTGATTTGCTGGGTCTTGATCTGCACTGGCATGGCCTGCACTGGACTGTCTGTGCTCCACTCTGCCAGGTACAACAGGCCTTTCCTGCTGACCTTTCCTGCTGTCTTTGGTTGGGTTATTTTACCCCATCCTTTTGTGGGTTCTGCTGCTCCAGAATTTGTTTGAGGGCATTATTTAAAAGTGTTCTGACTGGTTTTGGGAAGAGCTCAGAGGAGTTCCTGCCTTTCCTCTATCATGTTGACTCTGCCTCCCCAGAGTAGTCTTATCATTGGTGCTTTTACAGGGAAATTAATAATTTGCCTATTAAGCTTCAGTTTTTCCCATATTTTTGTGGGAAAGGGAACTCCTTAGGAGCTTATCCTTGCCCATAATCCAAATTCTGTTCATATCAATGGCTCGAGTTCCATATAGCCAGTGTTCATAGTATAGCATAGTATAGCATCTTCACCAATATTTTATCTTAGTAATAGTATAATATGTTACACATGCATCCTCCCCTCTGCCTTTTTTTTTTAATTTTAATTTTGGTTCCTTCCCTTGAAACCTAAAGTTTTCTGAGCATTTCTTGACCTTCAGGGTATTATTTCAACTCTTGGTATGGTAGTAGTGGAGAAGATGGCTAGGAACAAGTGTAGTTACTTAAAGATTTTGCCTTTGGTCTTTCTAAGGCACTCATTTGTTACAGAGTTTTACACTAGCTTCCATAGATTTATTTCATGATTGCAGATGTGTCATTCTTCCATCTAATGTACTTGTGGATACTTGTTTTCAGGTTACCTTTCATTGGACTATATACCTTTGAAATACTTATACAAATCTTGGCAAGAGGCTTCATTGTAGGACCTTTCACATTCCTCAATGATCCCTGGAGCTTGTTTGATATCCCTATTCTCGCAGTGGCGTAAGTAAGATTCATGGACAATAAACAGTATGATTTTTAAAAAAAAAGCTTTTGAAGGTTTGGGATTTTTCTTCATATAAAACTTTTACAACTAAAGAATATTGCATGAACCATGGTATTCAAACCTTCATTTTTCCATTTGATACATTTAATGAACTCCAGCTGATTTATATTTATTATCGATTTTAATCCTTGGAATTTGGATAAGCAACTTCTATAATATGTAGAAGGATTAGGGTTTGGGGGGGTTGTTTGTTTTGACATTTTAAATCTGGGGAAATTACTATGTACTGTGTATTGTCCAAGTTGACATGAGAAAATGCGATGAGAATCCAGTGAGTAATTGGCACTGAGCCCTTGGTTCTTAGCCTCTTGATCCTTCTGTTAGTTCACCTTTCTTAAGTACTAACAATTATCCTAAAATGCAGACTAACACCCAAGAAAAGTTTCTGGACTACTACTCTAAAGTTGCATAATTTAAGTATGTGTATACTGAATTTAATGCAGGTAGCAAACTTATTTTTCATTGTTTTGAAAGATGCATATTTTCCTTTTTTTGTCAAAGATTTTTGTTAGTTGGGAGGCAGATATATTAATTTTTTTATCTGCTGTCCCAGCAATAAATATTGGATATTCATTTATTTAGATTAAATCTATTCACCAAAGAAATAGCAGTATATATAAAGCATTCATGCTATTGTGATGGGTAGAGCACTGGATTTGCAGACAGGAGACTTGAGTTTGAATCCTGACACAAATACTTATTAGGTGGATAGCCCTGGCCAAGTCATTTATCTCTCCTGCCTAATATATAAAATGAGTTTTATTACAGTACCTATAGGATTGTTTTGAGGATCAAGTGAAATAGCAAGTGAGCTGAGCAAGTACAAGCATTTATTAACCATGATTTTATGACAATCAATGTGGTAACAGCTCTAAAGTGGTTACAAACCTTAAAACACTACATCAATGATAGTTATTACATTTTTCCAGACAACCTACTTATGTAGGAAACTAAGAATATTTTTATTGCCACCATCAACACCACTACTACCTTCAGTTGTATAAATGGATTGCTGTGAGTTTATGGGATTCTTAACTTGAAGGACCTTGAGAGATCGTGTTGCCCCACCCTCTCATTTTTTCAGATGAGGAATCCGAGGCTCAAGGAAGTGAAATTACTTACTGAAAGTCTCACAAGTAATAAATTGAAGAGCTCATGGTCTAACAACAAATCCTCTCTTTCATTGCACAATACTGCCTTTTGAAACTCCTGTGTTGATTTCTTATTTTAGAATTGTTAGAAGTTGTTTTTTATTTCTGTGAAGTACTTAACAGTTTCCCATTATATCTTTAGGGATGATATAGTAAAAAGTGGGATAGATGATGTTTATTATGCATTACTAGTAGTAACCACAACAATAATACATTCACATAGTGCTCCACATTATGAAGTACATCGTTTGATCATCACAATAGTTTGTGTATTGTAACCATTTAACAAATAGATACTGAGATTGAAACTCAGTGCATTTGCCCTGTGTCCTAAAGCTACAACCAGGCCTCTAATTCAAAAGTTACTCCTCTTTTGCACTATGCTTTAACAACAGAACCCTAGGAGTTGAGCTTAGAGATAAGCAAAGAAGACTTTTGTGGGGGTGGACATGGGCAGATTCTGGAAAAGCATATTTTGGAATATTTCAAAGGCTGTCATACGGAAGAGGAATGAGTTACAAGATTTGTTATGCTTGGCCTCAGAGGGCAGAACTAAGAGCAGTGGTTGGAAATTAGAGACCTCTGGAGGTAATGAGTCTCCCCTCACTAGTTGTTTCTGAACAAAGGCTAAATGTTGTAGAGGGGATTTTTGTTCCACCTTTGGTCTAACTGACCTCTGAGGTTCCTTGCAATTGTGTGATTCTGTCCATTTCTTTTCTATTAAAATTAAATTTTATTCTACTATATTTAAAAGACATTGCCTGAAGGTGAAAGTTTAAGTTTAAAACAACATTAAAAGCTTGATAAATAATGCCACTAAGTGCCTTTAAAACTCTAAATTTTGTAAAACTCTAATTTAATTCTATAGGTATTTGAGCATATTTGTAAGCATGGTCAATGATTCAGCTCTTGGAATTTTCTCTATATTGAGAATAGTGAAAGCTGTTTCTCTAAATATAGGTAAGAAGTGATTGACATGAATTATTTATGTCTTTATTTCTCTTATTGTATGTGTTTCGGGGTGGAGGAAAAGATGGTGTGTTAGTGTATTATCTCCCTTGTTGCAGCTATCTGAGAGTGTTATCAATTGACACGTTGTATTAGCATTTGGAAACTTTTTTGTTGTTTAGTTGTGTCTGATTCTTCATGACCCCATTTGGGGTTTTCTTGGCAAAGATACTGGAATGGTTTTCCATTTCCTTTTTCCAGCTCATTTTACAGATGAGGAAACTGAGGTAACCAGGATTAAGTGACTTGTCACTGTAATAGTGATAGCTATTAAATGTCTGAGGCCAGATTTGAACTCATGCAGATAAGTCTTCCTGAGTCCAGATGGGGGTGTTCTATGCACTTTGCCACCTAGCTGTCTGGGAAACTTTAGACTTGTTCAAAGTATAAAATCACCAATTTAGATTGTAAGAATTCTTTTAGATTACTGAGTCCAACCTCCTCATTTGACAGTTGAAGAACTGAGGCCTACAGTGGTCAAGTGAGGTGCCAAGATAGTAAGTGCCTTTGAAAGGATTCTAATGCAGGTGTTCCTGTCAAGTTCAATACTCCATCCACTCATAACATTTTGGTTATTTCATTTTATAGCTATTCTTTTTTTGAACCCAGGTCCCCTGCATATAAATCTAGCACTATTTCTGTTGTACTACACTTGGAAAGTTATATCAGTTTTCACAGGGAAAAGCTAAATTAAACAGTATCTTGTTAAAGTAAAAGAGCTATATAATGAATCATGGCCTAATGACAAAGAATATGGGATTTGGGACCAAAGACTTTGGGTTCAAATCTCAGCCCAGATATTTACAATGTGTGTGTGACTGTGGACAGGTCACTTCTCTCTACCTCAGTGTCCTCATCTGGATAATAAAGGAGATTGGATTGGGTGAAATTTAAGGTACCTTTCCATTCTGAAACTGAAACCTCTGAAACTTTTTGCTGACTGATTTTGGGGAGTGGGATGTGAGAATAATAGATGGTAAGGGATTCATTTGCAGTATCATCCTTATTATTTGATAGTTGTATTAGCAAAAACCATGATATATATTTGATTGATAAATTTTTATTGATACATATTTGGTTGGTATATTTTAATTGGGAAATCATTCTTTACATGTTTAACATTGACTTTCTAATCAAAACCAGCCTTTAAGACTTCAACTTAAAGTGGGAATTTTCAAGTCTACATGAAAGATAGATTAAAATTCTGAGAGGTGTTCTATCAACTGAAAATAAAAATGAAGAGAGTAATTCCTAATTTTGCATAGTGAAAAATACATTTCAATCCACTGGAAAAACTGAATTCTTAATAGATAATATTTTTATTACTAAGGTGAGAAAGAAATTCCTGAAGAACCCCAGAACTCCAGAAGTGGCCAGCAATATGAGTAGCATAGTGGAAAGAGTGCTGCACTTGGAGTCAGGAAGATCTGGGTTCAAATTCTGTTTCTGACCCTTACTAGCTGTATGACCATCAACAAGTCTTTTAAGTTCCCTGAGGCTTTTTCTCCTCATCTGCAGAATGAGGATACCTGCAATAACCACCTCACAGGGTTGTTGTGAGACTCAAGTAAGATAAAGTATGTGAAGTACCTTGTAAATTTGAAAATATTGATTTTGTTGGTAATATTTTCAATTAGCAGTATTGTAATTGAAAACATTTTTCTTTTTGTCAGCAATTGCAACTCAGTATTTTCTTGTTGCTCTTCCAGTATCCCATTAACAGGTGGTCCATTTGTTATTCATTGACCAGGTAAATGAATGGTTGCTCTCTATATGAGAAGTCTTAGCAAGCAGCTCATTAATTTGAGCATTCAAGCTAGTTTTACAGGAATATTTCACCACTAGGAAACATGGTTTAGTAACATTTACAGTAAACAGGTTAACTTAAACACTGAGCTAAAACTTTCGCTGAAAGCTAAACCACTTGTTTTATATGGTCATTGGTTTGAATCATTGATATGATTTTTCTAATTGGTAAGAGAATTAATAATGGATCCGCACTGATGTTTTATTTCATCCTTGTATTGCTATCTTGTCCCTCCTGTTTTCAGGCCCAAGATCTATTGTAGGGACATTGACTCGGTCAGTGAAGTTGTTTTCTCAGACAGTGATTCTGATTATATTTTGCCTGAGTGTCTTTGCTGTCATGGGCATGCAACTATTTATGGGCAAACTGAAGCAGAAATGTCTGCGATGGCCTCAGAGAGAGGGAAATCTCACTGAGATACCATGGGACAATGAAGGTAAGTGTCATACTCTTAACATGTAGGCTTCCAGCAAATGTATTAATGCCAGACACCAGAGAAATCATAATGGATCAAATAAATTAACTAAACTGAGTAGGAATTTCTATCAATCTTAGTTTTTTTTTTTCATTAGCTGTCCTTTCCCATCTGAATTGAAAAGATCTCAGTTTTCTTTGCAGATATTATTCAAATCAAGAAAAATGAACAAGGGAATTATCCTGCAAAATATGTCATAAAAAAGACCACAGGAAAGTAGGTCTTCATGCTACCTGAGAGAAGCTGAAATTGAGTCCTAATAGAGAGTCCTTTTGAAATTCATCATTAAAAACTAAACTTGCTAAAGTCGCATGAGATACAGAGTAGTATGGACTTCAAATTAGGAGATGCAAAGACTGGTTCTAGTCCCATGTTTTATCTGTGTGACTATGGCATTTAACCTCTTTGAGGTATTTTTTCCTTATCTGGAAAATAAAGATGCTTAATTATATGACCTACCTCACAAGATTTGTATTTGTTTTTGAAGAAAACACTTTTTAAATCTAAAAAATCTATAAAAATGTAATATTCTTTACAGGATTGCCTAATCTAATAGACTAAGAATCCAGCTTATATTACTAGAATTTATATCCCTTTGCATAAGTTTGCATTCTTATATGCAGAGTGAGTACTTTGAAGTACACTTCCATCAGAAGTATATCTTCTTTCATATGAAATCATCAGTTACCAATAGTGCATTTTAAAGCTATTAATAAAATTTTGATGGTATTTTTCTTGGCAGTCAAATTTCTCTTGGTTTTAAAAGAATTTTATTTAGATTATCTAAAATGAATCAAATAGAGGATCCTTTTTAGTTCGTGATCAGGCAAACTGTTTTTCTATTATATAAAAAGCTCTTAGCTATAATCCCTTAGGTCAATGTTCTCCAAACTTTTGATTTCCTGTCCCTGTAAGTAAAAAGCTTTTGAGAACCTTCTAACATATGCATATTTACTTACAAATTATACACCTATACTATCATACTGATATATACATTCAATATATAAAATTATAAGTATTTATAATATTTTATTTCACTTGAGATAAAATAAACTTTGTTCTCATTGAGCAATGTGATTGAAAATGTTTCATTTTTTTAAAAATCATTGCTTAATACTTTGTGATACTGTGATTTGAAGGTCTGGTACTAAGCTCATTTTACTTCATTATATGAATTTAATTACTTTCTTAACTGAAAAAAGTTACTTCAAAATATATAGATCCAAAATGGTAAAAAGACCTTTGTAGCTATGCTTATGAAACCACATCAATCGTTTTCCACCCAATCCAAAAGCTACATCTAGTTTTTGCTGAAGTTCAATAAGTAAATTTCTATTTTCCCTTATGTTGATCAGCTATTAATTTGAACCAGTCAGGAAAGGTTACAATTTACTACTTTTAACAAGTTCATTCACAAGCTACTGAAGCTCTTAAATTTGAAGATTTTTGAAATGGTTAGAAAATACAGTTTCCATAGGAGTTTTTTAAGTGTGCAGATTTCAGACTTTTTAAAAAAAAATGGTTTTAGCAACAAATGATTAGTCCTCAATGTCTTGCTAGTTGTGACAGTTTCTTCATACTTTTTAAGCTGATATTTCAAGCCACAATATGAAGTTTGGGAGGGGATCATTGTTAATGATAGTGAATATTAATTCATATCTCTGACAGTCTTGGTAATTTCAAAATACTTTTCCAAATTTTTGTCAGCTCTAGTTAGATTGTTATTTTTTCACAACTTCATGTGTTTGAAGAGTTCATGCCAGGAGTAGGGGAGAATCATTTCTGCCACTTTCTTGTACATCTTTTATCCCGTTAATATTATCTCTGATCCTTGATTCTTTGCAGAAATATTTTTTAGCCACTTGGATAGTTAGTTAAAATTGGATAATCTACAATTCCACTTAATTGGGCACATATACATGGAAATATATCAGAATATAATGAAAGCAATAAAGATAGGGCATCTCTGTGAATCACTCAATATTTTGGCACTCCTTCAGAATAGCTTATGCATCATACATTGGACATATTAGCAGAGCTCAATTTTTTTCTTGTTTTTAAGATAAAACATATTTAAGACATGATATAATATTTTTTACAGTACCCCAGTGTTTTATGTGCCCTGTTTTAGAGGTTACCTCCTTAGGGTGTTATGCTATTTCCCATCTCTCCTGGCTATACTCAATTTCTTATTGTCTTTTTGGAAAAAAAATTTTTATGAATATATTTTGTTTTCATATCCCCAAATTTCCTATTGTATCCTTCCCTCTTTCCCATTACAGAACAAATAATAAAAAGGGGGGGAAAGATCAGCAAAAGTAACATTTTTTTAGAGGCAAGCATTATATGTAATGTTCCACACCCATAGTTTCCCACATAGTCATATATTTGTGGAGGGTAGAGCCACTTTTTCATATATCTTCTTTGGAGCCAAGTTTGTTCACTAAAAATTTGAAGCATTCAAATTTGATTATGTTGTTATTGTTGTTCTTTCGATTTACAGTGTTATCATTGAGTATAATGTTTTCATTATTCATAAAAGCAGAGAAGGAAGGAAGGATGGGGTCAGAGGGAAATGGACGATGCATGTTTACTAAGTCCATAGGTAAATAAATAGTGAATGGATGGCTACTCCTGTAGATTCTTGGTGAGAAGGTGGGTCTTAGGAGAATGAGGAAGATGACAGAAGGGAATGATTGAGTCTGAGAGGTTGCATGAAGTGGGGAGTCTCAAAACAAAGGAAGAGGGTAGTTACAATTGTAGTCCCATTAAGTTAGAGGTATGGATTTGTGAGAAGAGATGGGGATCTCATGATGATTTTAATGCAGGAGCTGTCATTCCATTGAAAGGCCCTCTTCTCTTAGGCTGTGCTTCCATACATACTACCCTCATATGGGAAAAAGGATATGTGAGCTCTTGGAGACAACTGGCATGCAGAATGAAAGGGATGAGGGGAAGGGAAGGTAGAGCCAGTGATGATATGGCAAGGTCATTGAGGAGAACAGTCATGGGGAGAGTTGGAGGTAGAATTGGATATCATCCATGACACATGGTAATTTCTACCATGTGGCACTGCCTAGGTATATTACTTTTTCTCATACATTCATACTGCAAAGAATGAAACAGTGCAAAAAAGGATGGTTGGACAAACTTTACAAAGTCAATAACAGAAATTGGTTAGAAGAGAACACACTAACTCCATACTTTGGAACTTTTAACCCCATGAAAAACACAGAGTAATTAAAGAAAGAATGAATAAAGGTATAACCCACAAAGTAAAGAACAAATTTCCAAATAGGCTGTAAGAAAGTATTTAATAAAGAGGAAAAAAAAGTTAAAAAAATTCTTAGAAACAGGTCCAGTAAAAATAAAATAAAAAAAATAAGAAGTTTGATAGGGAGATCTTGAACTAACCATGAAACTGAGAAAAAAAAAAAACAAAAACAGGAGAGATAATATTTAAAGAAAAGAAATAAAAAGAAATCAAACTAAGTAAAAGCTCCAAATTAAGGAAAGGTTGTCAAATGGAATTAGTGGGGTAAGTGAGATAAGGAAGAGAGCCTGTGAGGGGAACATAGCTGCATCAAATAAATTTAAGCACATCTAATCATAGGAATGAAATACGTAAAAAAAGGAAGGGAATTTGAAAAAAATCCAACAAAAGTACTAAGATAATACTAAAACAAATGATGAAAAACACATGACTAACTGTAGAGACAGTGATAAGCTGAGTGGTAAATGAAGGCTAAACACCATAAGTCCAGAAGGATTAAATTTTAATATGATGAAAAGTTTCTAAAATAAAAAATATAGTTATAATGGGAAATGGGAAAACAGTAAAAACATTTCAGTAAATACAGAAGTAAAGCAAGGATGATGCTCTGTTTCTTATTTTCATGACATTCCTGGGACACCAAATATTGACCTTTATCTTCTATTTCTCTATGTGTTTATGTACACATTTAGCTTTACTGTTTTAAACAACTTATATACTTGCATGTTTAACCCTGAGCATCTTCCTTTCCAATGAAGTAAAAAGATTTAAAAATAAACAGGAACAAAATTACAGTAGAAAATTCTAATTCCAAAAAAACATTCTAATTACAGATAAGATATTACAAATTCTCCTAGTGCTCCACTTTGTGGTAGGGCTCCAAATCATGATGAAGAGAGACTTTTATCTTAAAATTGACTTTTTAAACTATAAACATGCATTAAGTTATTTCTCATTAAAACTATACACAAGTGTGCAATGTATTTTTCCTAAATTCCTTTTTCTTATTATGAACTTGACAAACATGGACAAACACAAATATTTTCATTTATGAATTAGGGGATAAAATATTTTACTTGAAACTTCAGATTTCTATAATGTACAGAATACAAATTGTATGTACATAAGACAATATAATCATTGCCCTACTTACCAATGTCTCTTTCTGAACTTTCTTCTGTTCTGCTTAGTGTATTTTATAAAGTTTTCATTGATTTTTTTCTTCTCTATCAGTTCTCACCTTCTAAAAAAGTTCTTTCTTATAATAAAGATGTACAGTAAAGTAAAATAAATTCGCACATTGTTCATGTCCAAAAACTCATATCTTTTTTCACCCACTGTCCTTCACCTCTCGCATTAGAAGTGGGCATCTTCATCAGTCTTCTGGAATCATAATTAGTCATTGTATTGATAAGAATTTTAAAGATTTTTTTCTCTTTTTTTTCAGATAAGAGAAAGCAGTCAGGTAGATGTTGATGAATGTTAATTGTCCACATAGAGAGACAATATTATATTAGAGCCCAATATACAGAGAAAAAAAATAAAAAAAAACTAGAACATATACATCCCCAAAAAAAGACTATGAGAATTCATAGGAGGGAATAATTATTTCCTGCTGGGAGAGTTGGGGGAAAATGTATTGAGAAGGTAGAATTTCAGCTGGGCCTCAAAAATTTCAGATGTGAAA